GCGAGGTAAATACCAAACAAGCAGCTAGATAAGCTGAAATGTTATTATCTGGTGAGATTGCATTTTGTGATTACCGAGATCTAATTTACCAATTGTTGGGAGAGTGTAATGGCACATCGCTCATATTGAAATGAAATGTGACATGCCGCTAATCGAATCCTTCAAGCTATCGAACAATGTCTTTTTTTTATTTCAGGAGTCTGTGTAAACATTACCGTCTAACACACAAAATAATTTACAATGAATGGCGGTTAAACGGAGAGGAAATCTTATATTTTAATGACACCACTGCGTTTGCTAAGGTGGATGTTTTAGATTACCTCAAACCCCTACCGTGCATTTTCGCTATTGTCACATCTGCTGCCGTTAATGCTGGGGAATTATTCATATAACATTTTGACCTTCCGTATAATTAATTCAACTTCGACTTTTCATCGTGGCGATAATTAGAGTGTGGCGAGGAAGACGAAGAATGAGTTACGTTAGGTCGTGCTTCGACGAGGGAATTGGTTTACTGTGTATATCTAGTTTGACATACATGACATGGGCCAACTGTAGTAGATAGCACACTTATCGTTGAACACACGCATTCTAATTGGTCCCACTTATACTAACATTGAGACGTATTGCTATCATACAGATCCTACCTCAGGAAATGTACTGGGAATCGGGAAACAAAAACTGAAAAAATAAACATAGGATTATATTGAAAAAAAACAAAAAAACAATCTGCTAATTGGATTAATATGATGACAGATGTTAATGTCGCAATACGGACGGGAACGTGTCATTGTTGACAGTTTTGTCTAATACTGAATACATTTTGTTTTAAATTGATATAGAAAGATTTAAACACGATGCTATTGTAGTACACAGCTAAGTATTCATATGTTGGAACACTTCTAATAAACATGATGTTTTTGATGCGTACAATCACAATTACTGCACATGCGTATTAGTGCGTATTTATTAAAACAATATATGTTTCCGTCCATATTCTATATTCAATGCCAGATTGTGATATCGTAATTTCTATTCACAAGATGGTTATGAAAACCATGCACACAATCAAAGTATGTTTTTGCTGTGACGCAGTATAACGTTATTCAAGGCATGGAACGCATAATTGTTGAAATACAGCGCAATCAACCTAAATAATAACATTACAACACAACAAATTGTTTTGTTGAAATAAGATTATAACACGTTTTTTTTGTGCTTTCGCCCTGTATTATATCAACTGAAAACTGAACGCTTGCTTAACCAAGCGGTATAACTTATCGTAAATTATGCAGAGAAATAAGGTTAAATGTCATGGCAACGCATAATATATATATATATATAAGTTGAAAGTAGCAGACATTTCTTGAAATAATGTTGGAATAGAATGCATAAGAGCTATCGCAGAAAAATATAATCCATAACTGATCGCACAGTTGACGTTAATCACGCGATGATTCATGAGGTGGAAGAAGAAAGCTATATGACTGTGTTACTTTGTAGGATAAATATAAATGAATGAACTAACGAAAGTGCATAAAGGAAGGAAATTGTAATTAAAAAATAATAATAATAATAATCAACAGTGTAATTTATTGTTAACTGTTTACTTATCCACAAAGGAATTTCCTAATACTTTGGCGATTACATCTGTACCCAATTTAACGCTCGTACCAAAATCCTCTGAATGATTTCCCGGCGGAACGTTCGTACTATTGTATAAGTGGTTATTAGACTAAACGCATATGACCCTAACAAGAGATGTTATTCCTAATTTTACCGTGGTTTACCAAGTAATAGTTGGCATTCTAAAGCTGTCTGACGTCATACAATGTCAATACAGAAAGTGAAACTTTATTAATAACAATTCCTAATTCGATGGAAGTGTGTTAGAATACAAGTAAACTGTGGGAGTTGGAATCCCTTGGGTCGGCAATGCAGGTGTGTCAATCTTCCGTAAATGTCGCATACTTCCATTAATAATTAATCAAAGGAAATAGTTAGTTAGTGCGAGCAGATGATAGACTTCCTTTATGGAATAGTTACCGATGGATTGAGGCAAGATTCCGTTACGCCCAAACATACAACCTCAACACATTTTGCTCAAATCAAGAAGATTAGATTAGAACTTTCACACCTCATATACGAATTTCTAACTACGGAACATTTCCCAATCGTAAAATCTCTCATTTATGTCTTAAGATGTCAAGATGTTTAGTATTTCCCTTGTTGGACGTGACATTTCAGACGCTGGAGATATCACAGTCCCTATACGATAGTCAGTAACACTCGATGTATGTTATTTGAACGTCAGTCCCCATAGGCACACATGCGTATACATGAGTGCAGTTAAGCAGCCCTGTTTGTCATGTGTGTATACTGAGTCTCTGTGCCGTTAAATGTGTTTTGTTTCTATGTTGAAATATCATGGATTTCCGTTAATTTTAATTTATTCAACAATGCTATTGACATGCAGCGCATACTTTGTATATTTCAAACCGACGCCTCTCTTATTAAAATTAATGTAAGTTCATTTTTTTTCGCCACATGTTTTTTCAAAGCCATTCTCTTTCATAATGTTGGCGGCATCGCCGTAATATGTCATAGGCTTGAGTTGACGATCAACTTAACCAATTAAAGGCTGAACAAATCACATAAAAAACGGCAGTTAATACTACACCTATTATTTCATTTTCAAGATATCGTCTAGGAATGGCCGGAATATTGGGCTGTAAGCTTGGTAGTTTTACAGGCAATCGAAATAAAGCACATTAGCTGCAGCGGTATATTTATAGGGTAATGATGAGGTATGGATAGATATGGATAATTTGCTGTCGTAGCTGCAAATGGCTACCGGATAGCTTATATGGCTTTGTGTACAGATACTTTTCTACATGCCAATATGGACACACGTTTACAGACTTGCCTGGCTCTTTGAATCCATATTAAACATCCATTTTCACAGCAGATCACATC